AACCATGGTTATGATGATAATTTAAAATTCACACAGTAATGCTAACCATCGGGAATATTACCGTGGTTAATCGTAAAACTGGTAAGCACTTCCATTTTTGAGATCATTCAGATAAGCAATAAATATAGTTCTTCCAAATCAGTCATGATGCAAGGATAACCAATAAACAACAATATTCTTCAATGTTTATATTTCATTTAATTGCAGCCTCATTACTGTGATGAAACAGTCGGCCATTAGAAATGTTTAGACACAGCCTCAGGATGCAGTAAGCTGCTAGAAAAGCATCACCACATCTGTCGATCAGCACTGTCAGTCTGTCTGACCTCACATCGTTTTCCATTAACTCTCTTAAGCCTGTTCACCCACACACAGACCCACACTCTACTGCCTCCCCAGCCCTCATCTCAGGGATGCTATCCTTTTCACTCGGTTACTCAAATCCTCACCAATGCTGTTCAATTAAACCCTCAGTAAGTGGAACTTTAACCTCCTTTGAACAGCTGGCCAACACCAACACTTGATACAACTCTGTGGCCATTCTGTCTGTGTGGGTGTTTGCTGCACTAACAATCACCTCCTGCCGATAATGACCTTGTCCTGGCCCGATGCCCCTGGATACGTTTTCTTAAGTAAACAGTGGCAGACGTGCAGAACACCGTGTTAGCGTTAATATATAAGTAGTGGAACCAGCTGTTAAGTGATATTCATGAGTTTAGGTTATTCTGTTTACCCAACTTGAAGAGCTCTGCTTTAAGATGTAAACCCCATGTTAAATTGCAGATTTCAAAGGAATCATTTTCAGAGGATCTGTGCAGTAGTCCCTACAGAGGGCTGCAGAAAGCTAGAGCTTGCTTCCCTCGCTTGGGAGAGAGATCAGGCGTAGCACCCTGCAGCAAGTCTGGATGCCAGTTCATGTGCCAGTCTCAGGTCGGAGGTACCCAGACTGCCCCCAGAACAAATTAGTAAAGACGTCATGAGATGCTCACTGCGGTGATGAATGTCCGATTAGGGAGACTCTTTCCCCCTTTTTCGAAGCTAAAGGCGTTCTTTGCGTTTAGTCCATGCAGGCTCACTGTGCAACATTGATTCAGAGAGCCAGTGCCTATTTTTAGAGCTAGTGCTGCTGTTGTGGTGAAGGATCACCGCTCATCACAGTATCCCGCAGTACCTCTGTGATCAGACTAGTTTCTAACGCTCAGTTGATCAGAGTCGCTGTCCTCCCCTCTATCACTGTGCTTCCTAGCAGTATGTGGGCTGTAGCTTAGCGAGGTCAGTTGTCTGAGCTAAAACTCCTGTGCAACTAGGACTCTGGAGGCTTCATTATGGTATGGCTTCATTGATTGCCTAAGCCTTGTCCCGATCAGGGCTGCAAGGATGAACAGTACAAAACCAATAACTTTAATATTCTGTGTATGTGTGTGTGAGTGTGTTAAGGGATTCTGTACTGTCAATAAGTCGGAGACAATTGCACAGCATATTTCCACAGCTTGCTGGTGTTAACAGTGTTTAGCAGTTGGGCTACATCTTAATAAGGTTGTCTTGATTCTTTGTTTTCCTTCTCCGTCTGCATTCTCCTCTAAGATGAGCGCTGCTGTTTTGTAGTTACGGTGAATTTTACTCCACCGTATAGTCATGATCAGTGAAACGTTTGGCTGTACAATCTGCAACATTCCTCTCCTCTTCCTCCCCCGCACATTGAATGAAATGCAGGGTCCTATCAGTGCTCTGCATTCACTCACAGTGATTGATTGTCAAAGGGGGATTTTAGCAGCTCAGTAGATTTTTTTGGGATAACCACAAATCAGGCACTTAATCAAAGCAAGGAAAGGAAGGGCCCAACACAACACAGGGGAGGACATTGTGGTGTGGGAGGAGATGGATTTCTATTCTTTATTTGTTCAGAACTGCTATATAACTACCAGCTACTGAATCCTACGCTAACAATGGCAACTGATAGGATTTGGTTCTCTGGTATTGTTCCGTTGTTTCCTGCATTGATACAAAAATTACTTTTTTATCATAGAAGAACAGTTAAGCTTTGGCTTGAGCACATTTTCACCTTTAAACACAATGTCACTAATTAGCAATTTAACAGTGACACGCTAAGCCATTATGTAAAGATCACAGTGTCTTATTTTGAGTTCAGCAACCTTAATATTCACTGATTTATCTTGTGATGAGTTAACACAAAGCCTCTTAAAGTTCAGGCCAGCATTTAATGATAATAGTAGTGAGTAAAAGAAAACCTGATGAACATGTGTAAAGCTGCTCTCCAACATTAAATATGCAGTGTGGACATTTTGCTGATATTTTCTTCTGGACATTTATGTGAAAACACAATAGTCTGAGTCAATTGCTCGGGACTTTTTCCTGATTTTTTCCGGAGGGGGCAGTGTAACCTTTGCACTACAGTTTGATGTGTCATGCATGTTAAAACTTCATTCATAACATTAAGACAGTGGTAGTTAATGGAGCATGAGACACGCACTTGAAACAATTCCCCTTCAGCAATGTGATGTCTGTACTGCAGGAGTGTTAGATGTTGATAGGTGCATGGGCACAAGGTTAGTGGTTTCTAACAAAAGAGACGTAACAGGTTCAACTAAACATCTTTTTTGTTGACAGAAGAGGCTGCAGACTTAAAATGTCTGCCAGGCACAGTCACAGTAAGCAATGATAAGGTGTCTGTCATCTGTAGTGAGCGCCTTTTATTTATCTGGTCTTTTGGTACCTTTTTGGTTTCCAGATACAGTCAAATTGAATGGAATACATGCTGTCAATCTGAAGACAGTTGGCAGATGTGCCTGTGGTTAAAATCATAGTACGTGTGACAGGCATGGGTTATTGGATTGAGCATATTTGTTTGGCAGTAGCTGTTGATAGCTCCCAGTGTATTCATTTATTAAACAGCGTCAATGCATTTGTTGTGTCATTTTTTATTTCAGACATTTTCACTGGACTGTTAAAGTGAGTATAGATCTTGCAGAGATTATATCTGACTGCGGTGTGGTATGCATCTGGTGGCAAGAGGCAAAAAAGGAGGGATATGTTAAAAAAAATGGTAGTTAAATAGTTTTTATTGATCCGTTTAGGTGATGGATCACAAGTTCGTCAGATGATGCATGCTTGTATTGATTACTGTACCTTGCATTGCACACCAGTCGATAAATGTGTAGATTTTTAGAAGCAGATAAATCAGGACTCAACAAAAGATTTTTATGACAAGATATCAGCCGTCACATGGTTTCAGTGGCCATAAAAAGCCTTGGCAGGGCAGTAAAAGCCCAAATGATATGGTATATATGTTTTGAATAATACCAGCACATGAATATTATCAGACATGTTTTTGACTAGAATTTGCTGAAATGTTTCCTGCTGTTGGATTTTTTGTCAGTTTTGTTATGTAGACTTCGCATGGAGCAGAAGACTGACACTGTATCTGTGCAGCCTCAGCTCCTGTCCCTGGCCTCTCCCACTTCTCAGTACCTTGCCCATGTCATGACTCCTGGGGCCCCTGGAGCAGAGGGGAGTGGATTGTGGCATCACATTTCCAGAGCAGTGGAGGCGAATACATGGACCGTACCCTGTCGTTCAGAGACTCTGGTCAAGTGGAGCAGATGGTAGAGGGAATGGCATCAGCCCCAAATCTGTTCCACACCACCTGACCAAGAGTGCAGGACATAAGTCTGCGAAGGTGACACAAGCCCATCCATCATAAAAGTTTCTTCTGCCACTGCTATTGAGATTGATGCAAACAAACACTCACTCTACTATTGGTTAGGGCATCCCTTCTAAACTCCACACTCTGTCTTTGTTAAGAGAAGGAGCCCTCTTGAGCTTAGCTTAACTGCTCTCTGCACACAATGTGAAATTTAAATCAGATTTCAGTTGAATTAAACCACCTTTCCCCTCAGGGTTCTATTTAAGTACAGGGGACCAAAAGGTCACAGCACCAAGAATAGGGCTGTCAGTTAGCAACAGCCTGTTTCTGGATTTCTCTGATGGAGGTCGCTTCTTCGACTTTACTTTGCTATACATGTCTGCTCCTGATGGCATCTCTTTTAATTATCTCCTTGGCACACGAACTGATCCACTCCGATAAGCTTCAGTATTACATTACTGGTAGCGGGTGTCTCATCTAATGTCTCTTCAATTTGTAGCCATAGCTGCGTTGAGTCCAATTACTGTGGTGTTTATTTTAATCCTCCAACCATTATATTTTTACTTTTCACTCTTACCTGCACCCACCAGGTTCACCTAAAAATCCATTTATTATTATTCTGATGCTAAAAATAAGCAATAATAGATGATATATTGAAATTAGCTTTCAAGCATCATCCTGCGATCTTGTATCTTTTCTTTTTGGATTGCTCAGTTTAATATGCAACATTAAATAATTTCTTTGAAGAATTTAGAATAATAAAATTTGAGAACACGGGTCTATGGGCTAAACACAGCATCTCAGTTATGTCTGTGACATCCCTGCCTTTGACATATATTGTCACAGATAAAGTTACATAATGAATATTTCATGGGCAGTTGGACAGACCCACGTGAGAGTCGCCTTCTCAGGGACCATAGGCTGTAGTTTGCTCCTGGCCACTGAACATGCAGCTTCCTTCCCTTTTTCCTGACACAATAAACTATATCAAACCACACTGCAGGCTAACAGACATACAAAGAGTAACACAAAAAATGTACTACCCTTTTCTTGAGAGAGCTGCTGTAAACACAACAGATTTCAATGCCTTGCTCCCTGGCTCTCTGAATATTCCTCCTCGCAGCTTCTCTTCATATCCCTCCCACCACATTCCCTCCCTCCCTCTCTCTCTCTCTCTCTCTCTCTCTCTCTCTCTCTCTCTCTCTCTCTNCTCTCTCTCTCTCTCTCTCTCTCTCTCTCTCTCTCTCTCTCTCTCTCTCTCTCTCCCCTCCCATCTCTTGCCTGTGTGCACTGTGCTGCTTTATGCTGAGCACAAGGCATACAGATGTAAGTTTAATCCAGGCAATGGCCAGAGCTGGGGAAGTGAATATGGCTAACGTCCTGTAGTTTTCAGGAGATTATTTAGGATCCAGAGCAGCTGTCAAGGTGGACTTCGTGGGAGAGATGAAAACCTCCTGGAACTGTCTGTCGTGTTTTATTCTCTCCATTTCTTTGTGTGGATCTATGCATTTCCACTCTTAAAGCTGAGAAGCAAGAGGAGTTATCTCTTGCACTGAGCTCAGTTCAAAACGGAAATTGCAAGACTCTATATCTGCTCGTCAGCTTCTGATGATCCTCTGATATAGAGGTAAAGCGAGAGGAGGACCTCTGGATGAATCAAGGAAAAACTTGCTGGGGCATACTCACACAAGCCCTGCTTTTTTTGAGCTGTGATTTGTAGAATATTTTTTTCTTTTTCTTTTATTCCCTAAATTCTTCTGGATTGGCTTTTTTATGTTTTTGTCTGCAGTGATTCCAAATTTGGTTCTCACACCAGCAGAGGCAGAGATGCTGTAAGGTTGTGCTTGGATTTGGACTTCCTTTCAGAGGATTTTCTTTTCACCTGATCAGCGGTCCTTCGGTGTTTGAATACATTCTCTTCTGCCCTCCCACTTCTCTGCAGTCCTTTTTTTTCCTTATTGACCACAGTGATTTGGTCAGTGATTTTATTGCAACTTCATCAGACACACAGTTTTTGAGGTTGGATTTACATCCTACAGACTGAACAGTGTTGCACTCTTCATTGGATCCTCAGACTTTACGCCTCTGTGTGACAGACAATCAAAATCCAAGATGCAGGTGTCATTAGTGTGCACGGACCATCGCGGGGGGGTGAGCCGCACCACCGAGGACAGGCTAAACCGACAGAACGCTAACAGCCCCAACACAGGCACCCGCAGCAAGTTCAGAGCTGTAGCTATGGTGGCTCGCAGTCTCGGACAACTCTCTGTTCAGAGTGTGCCTTCCTCCAGCGAGCAAAGCATGAAGACTGGCATGAAGTATCGGTAGGGTACTAAAGAAGGTTAACTGATAAATGTGGCCCCAAAACTTTCAGACTATTAAATATATAAATGAAATTACATAGGGGGATTTGCTACCTTAGTATATTTTAAATTCATCAAATGCATTGTCTGTTGGTACAATGTGTTTGTCTTTGTTTGTCCTTTCTCTCAAATTTACGACACACAACCTGTTTCAGATCGACAGTTAAATTTTGTGCTTCATCGTGACAGTGATTAATTATTTAACCTCCCAAAACTTTTATTTATCCATCAAGTGGGATTTAAAAAACGATTTTCAGTTTGTAATTTTTTGCTTCAAGATGCGATGTTGCATGTAATTTGTATTTGATTAGTGGCAATTGATGTCTAATCTGTTCTGTGCAGGAGCAACGTCAACAAGCTTTACAAACAAAGCAGAGTAAAGTGCATTTGTTCAGCTTTGAAGGGGAAACTAATTAGTATTTTACCAGATTAGTTTTCCAAGTGCACAAATACTGTTCTGATAAAACAAATTTATAACTTACCAATAGTCCTAATAATAGTCTTTAATAATAATAATTTATATAGGTGATTATCACTGCAATTCTTGTTTTAAACCTATAGCAGAAATATTTAGATCAACTTAATTTCCATTCATTGAATCAAAGCACCATATGCCACTATCAGAGTAATCTTGTCATATAAAAAACCTCTCTAAATGGAAAGGGAACAAACGTCGACATAATTATAGCTTTTATACACAATGCTGACATGACGCTGGGCTGAATATTTATCGCCACCCCTTCAGTCAGTCAATTACCAATTTCCACTTGTATATTTACAAATCTGTTGCTTTCTTTCTGCCCGTGTGGATTAAATGTGTTGTATTTTGTTAAAAGGAAATGATCTGACCTGTTTGAGTGTAGAATCAACCTGAACTCGTTACCATGTTTTTTCTGCCATACCACATTAACCTTTAAGCAGTGGTTTATGTGCAGAATAGCATTTGTAGCAAAATGCCAAGGTCTTTTGTTTGTGTGGCGAATTTTTCAAATTATTCAGTCTTTTACACGAGGGCTGATAAGGAAGCAGAAAAACGATTACTAAGTGGAATATCTTTAAAAGCATATGGAGGTGCAGCATGTAGAGGAGTAAGTGAAAGGCAAATTGAACAGCAGTGCAAGATGACAAATCTGTAGGCATTATCAGTGAGGAAATGAGTTTGAATTATCTTGCAGCATGGTAACGTAGGAACATGATAATGTGCAGCAAGCTGGCTATTAATGCAATGCAGCTCAGCATCCACATTGTGCATACTAGCACAGCTGCACATTTTACAATACATGAAAATTACTCACAGTAACTTAATGTTATATCATCAATTGATGACACAATGTTTCCAAGGTAAACTGTCGTCTTGCTTCAGGGTGCTTCTATTTATTGTGATAGAGGATAAATACATTTGTTTCTGCAGTGGAATCAAAAGCGGAGCCTTAATTAAAACCTTGTAAGTTATTTCCGTTTTAATGCAGTTTATCTTTTATACCAAACATTATAATCGGGACAAAATGTCTCATCGTGATGCTATTGGTAAAGAGATAACTGTTCATTTTGAATTTAATCTGTTTAAACCTCAAAGCTCAAGATGACAATGTGCAATATGATGTCCTCAAAACGGAATAAATCAGGGCTTCTGTTGTATTTTTGAGAAATTACTGCTATGTTGATTGCAGATTGAGTAATTAACACTTGATTTGAGGAACCACATTACCCATCCTCAGAGCTGTTGTTGTCTGAATGGTTCATCGCAATCCTCTGCATCTGATTTGCCAGCGGCAGGCCTGCCATGTTGGCACACTGTCATTATTGAGGCTAATGATATTGAATGAGTAAAATCATTCTCTGCTCGAGGGCCAGTGGTTCTTTGCTTTCTCTGCTTCTGCTGTGTAGTCTAAAATATATATTGGGCTCTGGGTTAGTGAACCCAGGCCTATATCTGATGTGAACTGAAGGTAATGCAGCTCTAAATGCAGCATGAGGCTCAGGGATAAGTGTGCTGGGGGTGCAACATAATGTTTTTAAGAATAGAAAGGAAAAGGAAGGAAGGAGAGAGTGAAAGAAAGAAGGGAAGGAAGGGAGAGTGCCAAGGTTAATGTTGGTGCAGGCTCTATGCCCAAGAGGAAGTACAGTAGGCTGGAATGATCTGTCATGTCAGTGTGTTTCAAGTGTGCATCTTGGAGTTGAAACTTCCAACCCCTTCAATGGAAATGCATTTCTCCTTTAATCTGTGAGCACATGATTTATTTTTTCTCTTTGTTGAATTCAGTTTGAATTTTTCATTTAGCCCTTTTGACAGATAAGGAGTTTGTGGTTTTATAACTGTGCTCCAGAAGAATACAGTTAAAGCTACTTTATCCACCCTACAAAACTTTCCATGGTTATCCTCACTTCTGGATAGTACTGTGAAATTCAGATCAGCTGATTTGCATACATCCCTTTCTGTTTCCCTGAATGGAAGCCTTGACATTCAATCAAGGCCGTCGGCTCACATCTACAGGCAAGGAAGCATCTCAGGTTGAAAGTGACTTTATCCACAAGGCCAGGGAAACCATCAATGTGAACGTCTTTTCAAGGTGGGAGGGATTGCGGCAGCTTTACTGAGCCACCTCACCAGAGAGGGAGCCGTTCTGTAATATGACACCGGGTCTGCATGGCTGCACTGGTTAAAATCATCAAACTTTGCTATGTGAGCCTGAGCCACCTTCAAGGATTGATTAAATGCCTTCAGTCAGGACTGAATTAATGATGCACACAAAATGGCTTATGATTATGTAAAGTAGTCTCTCAGGGAATGGAGGAATATCTGAGAGACTGGTGAGACAGTGCAGGTGGGGAGTCACTCCTGTATGAGCCCTGCTTCACAGTCCGATATCAGCACTTCTCTCGATTGGTCAAACTCGGGCAGCGTCTGTAGAGAATGATTCACATTTACTTTGCTTAGTCATGAAAGTAAACTGCTGCAAAGTAGAACTGAGGTGATTAAGTTTGATAACATATCACCTTTCAGTGGGATCTGCCATTTTTATGCTTCGTGCAGACTAAATTCTAGCCTATTTGAGCTTTTTTTTTGTCAAATCATGGTATTGTTTTTGCCACACTTTGCGATAAAGCAATTTTGCTGCTTTGCACTCAGTATCATTTCTTGCAGTGGCCATGTTAACCAGAGCTGACTCACCTCCTCCGCTTGTGTAGCTCTACAGATCGCCCTAGCCCAGACTTTCAGCAGGATTCCTCACATCTCTGGAGGTCCACTGTTTGTTATAAAGTTGATAATGAGTCACAGCCCCAGTAAACAGCTACTGGCATTGTTGTGAAAGCGGATGGCATTTAAATCCCACCACAGTGTTTTGTGTGGTTGTGATGTATCATTATCAATAACTGAGAAACTACAGAAACTACTTTAAAAAAGACAATTCCCCTGAGTTGTCTTTATTAGTTCACAAACAGGTGTCAATTAGAAGGCCACCTAAACAGCATGTACCTTCATCAAGGTCTAACAGTCCCTTTATGAAACCACATATAAATAAACTAAATCAGAGTCCTTTTTTTGGATCTTCACCAAATTACACACACTCATAATCATCAGTCAGCCTGATTTAGTTTTTATTTATTCTCTAAGAATTCAACAAAACTTTTGAAAAAAATGCCTTATCTCTCTCGCAGTGTTAAAGAAAGAGAAAAACTATTCTAGGATCTGCCCCCTGATCTGGATCCACACCGAAATTAAATGCGTCCTGTAGTTTTTGTCTTCAAAAAGACAAACAAAAACAAAACTACATTTGATGGAGGTAAATATAACAGAGATATTAATAGAGTGCCAACGATTTACAAATGAAACTTGCAAATGTTCCAGATTTATTACCAGTGTATTTATTACCAGTGTACATTTGCCTGTAGTTATTGTTATTAGCTGTGGTTGCAGAATGAAAGCTGTATTGATGCTGCTTAAATATGGAGTAGTTTTCTGAAAGATGAAACTAGGTTCACATTTTTCCAGATTTTGTTACACACATAAAAAGGCAAAAGGCATGCATTGCTCAGTGTTGGGTGACAAAAGCTGTGGGTGTGAGATTTGGGGCATAGTAAGGGGACATTTTCCTGCATTCTGAGGGCTCTCTTCACCAGGGAAGCCAGCTTTCCACAGCCTGTACTCCCCTTGAAATATGAATCATAAATAGACCGAGGTAGTGGAACAGAAAACACAGCAACGGCACACTTTGGCCTCACTGATGTAAATGCTAAGACTCATCCACAGCAAAGATTTCAGGCCACAGTAGCCACTTAGGTACCATCTTAAATGTGCACAGAACATTCGCCATCTGTTTGCTCTGGGCTTCTGGGGAGAAATTGCCAAACGGTGGGATGGTTCATTTATTGATGTAGGCTTGTGTCTCACTGTATGCATTCTTTTTTTTTTTCCTGTGTTGGTGTATAAGAGAACAAGCAAGATGGGGGGTTGTTAAGGAGTATTTTGCCTATGTGTCTTTGACTGTGTCTGCATGCGAGAGACATGTGATATGTTGAAGGAGAACATGAAGACAGCTGTTCTTTCTCTGCCTCACTGATAGAGTTTAATTAGAGTGTGTGTGAGTGTGTGAGTGAGTGAGTGAGTGAGTGAGTGAGTGTGTGAGTGAGTGAGTGAGTGAGTGAGTGTGTGAGTGAGTGAGTGAGTGAGTGAGTGAGTGAGTGAGTGAGTGAGTGAGTGAGTGAGTGTGTGAGTGTGTGAGTGAGTGAGTGAGTGAGTGAGTGAGTGAGTGAGTGAGTGAGTGAGTGAGTGAGTGTGTGAGTGTGTGAGTGAGTGAGTGAGTGTGTGTGTGTGTGCGTGTGCGGGTTAATACCACTCATTTCTCTCTGCGTGTTATTTTCTAAAATCCTTAAGAAATAGACTATATTGTTTTATTTTGTTGTACAATGCCAGGTAGAGCCAAGTCCTTGATTGACTCAGTATCTGTGTTGTCCTCAAT